AATATATTCTTTGCATTCTGTTTTAACTTGTTTCTGTACTTTTTTGATGATTCCCCATTTCCCTTTTTAGTTTAGTTATTAGTACCTCCATCTTCAAAAAAAAAAAAGTGAATTTTTTGTGTAATGAAACAATGTCTGATCGGTTTAAAAACACAAAATCTTGATTACCAATTTTTGTATTAACGCATTTTATTCAAATAACAGTTAATGTTTGCATTTAATAAACTTCTATTAATTTAGTACAAAAATATATGTAGCACACAAGACATTATTACAATATACATTCCAAACACTAAAGTATTGAAAAAAAGTGTCTTCAATATAAGCTTTACACTTTTATAATGAAAACCACAATAAACAAACACATATATGCAGTAATCTTGTAATAAAACTTTCACACACAACACTGAACATCACTTCTTAGTTTTGGACATGTGATACCAAAGTAGTTTTTCTTTTAAAACTGAAGCTTACAAAAATATAGCTGCCGATTTAAATCGATCATATGAAGAAACAAAATCTCTCTAAAGTTGACTACCGCTAAAGAACTAAACAAATTGTATGAAATCAGTAACCCTGGTTTATTAAGCCTAAAAAACAAAAGGGTAAAGTAAAGCTTTGGAAAGTTGCATTGACTATCAGCTGTTTCTTTTGCAGTTTCAGAATATCATATTGCCAAAGTAAGAAATCATAGATACATAGTAAAAATAAACATTTCAAAACTTTTCTTGACATCTAACATGAATTTTCTTTGGTAAAAAAATGGATAATTAATACAAATCACTACAAATATCAAGTTATTACTTGTTTTTGAAGCATCATAAAAATGGGAGTTATTTTCTTTGAGATTATATGAAACTACCTTGTAAATTTGAACAACATGGTTCACGGAGTATGTTTTAAGCCACAGAACTGCTTTAAGACAGGCAGCTAACACAGTTTTAAAACTGAGATATATATATAATATCCCTTGCTTTTCAAAATACATATATATATATATATAGAATGATCCAAAGTTTTGTTGGTTCAACACCTACAAAGGAAATTCTTTACAAGACAAACATGATTTAAATATCCTTCATTCAATCTCAAAATTTTTTTCTGCACACTTGTATATAACATTTATGACCCTAAATGTTAAATAATGACTTTACAACAATTAGTTCTCTTCAACACAATTTTTAATAATAATAAAAAAGCTTCATATAGTACTGTATTAAACTCTTTCATAATTAGGTATAAAATAGCTGAACAGCAGGAAGACTATAGGCTTGTTTATAAGTACTAACATCTTTTAAATCCATATTATTCTGTAGATTATATGATAGTGAAAATGTTAATATACCAAAAAATGATGTTAATTATAAAATACTACACTTCTTTTAATCAGTAAATAGCATTTGGTTACAAGTTCACTATGAACACATGTACAGAACTATACACATCAATTAATCTATATGTATATAAATAACTTGCCATTCGTTACATGAGGACTACTAATATATATGATCTCACATTGCAAACATAAACCCCCCTTACTTTACAGTAGATATTCTATCTTAAAAATAGTTTTAATACATTTTTTCTCATATTGAACATATTATCTTCAATTATAGCTCAATGTCCTAACACTTGATTTTCTTTACCAACCATCTTCTTAATTGATATTCAAAACTCATCTTGCACACTAGGGTTGGGAATTGTAAAATAACTGCACATACAAGGAGATTCTAAAATTAAACGCACTCGTGGAATGCCAACCATGGAAGAAAAATAAGTTTACTCTTGCTTAATACTTTGTTTATATAAATTATATGACCCTTTTTACATAAACAATTCCAACCTGAAACTCTATATGGAACAATAACAATTTTATAATATTCCAGAGGCACATAAGAAAAAAATTTTGTAATATTCCAACAATTTTATACTATTTTCAAGGCACATATCAAGAATAACAATTTTATAATATTCCAGAGGCACAAAGAATAAAAATTTTGTAATATTACAACAATTTTATACTATTTTCAATGCACATAAACAAAAACCAAAAATGTTTAAACACCATTTAAGAAAATGATTAAGCCTCAGCCTGTAATGAAACCACAGCAATCTTGATTTTCATAATGAAAAGCACCATCTTGATGCTATAGTAACAGATTCTCAAGTAACTCACTGCTACTGTATGCAGTACATATGGTTTCTAGAAATCAATCATGTGGATTTTTAAGTTTTATTATCATGATTACAGCAATTATATATTTAACAACAACATAAAAGTAAAAAAAACATTTAAATTTTAGATTTTGCACTTACATTTTTGAACTTTAAAAGCTGTTATTTGTTAGAAGGTTTCTGATAACTAAAAATCCAAACATAAAAAAAAATATATAATTTGGGTTAAATCATTGAATAAAGACAAAAAACAGTGATAAAAATAATGGAACCACATCATTTGTTAACATGCCATCAAGCCATGATAATACACAAATTCATTTTTAATTTGCACAAGCTTCAAAAAACTTCTTAACAGCTTCCCTGAAAAAAAAATAAAAAAAATTAACCACTGTTCATAACTGTTGACAGCGTGAGATTTTACATAGGTTATTGTTGAAAACAATTTTTCATTTTAATGAAATGTGTATAAAAACATGATACTTCGTACCACTTACTCTCCCAAGGTGTATATAGAAACTCTTGAAATCTGAAGTTTACTAATAGCAAAACCCTCATATCCATTAAAAAGCTAATTCCCAGCCTTAGTCTTTATGTTACATAAAACCAAGTTTTGATTAGTTTTGTAAATGCAAGTTGACAAAAGTAAATGAAAGAATTATTAGCTGTAATAATACAGTAACTATATCAATTTTTAATGTGTCATTTAAATCCTCACTCCCAGCCAAAGGAAAAAATATATTATTAAAAGAAGAAAAAAAAAAGAACTCGGATAAGATACCCTATAATAGGAGCTTGTATATGAATATACCAGCCTGATTTTTTCCTTCATTTGAAAACCATTCAGTAGGAAAACCTTCAATTCAAAAGAAACTAGATATATGCTAGAGTTGCATTTATATAACACATTCTGTAAGTATTAACTTCCTTCTAAAACATCTTTATTTAGTTTGTATTCAGACATTATTTCATCTAGATTTGATCAACAAGTTATAAACTTTAAACAAATACTGTGTAAGCACAGCCTGTAAACCAGAATATTTAAATGTTTCCAAAAATAAAGGTCACTAACTTTTCAATTACACTTCAGTCAATAAGGTATGCCTGACTCATCACCTTAGTTTATTTGATACAAAATGTAGATTAACACACTTCAACTTATCTGGACCCCAGATAAATATTAAATTATAGCTATGTATTCAGTCTGAAAACAATAGTGTTATACTGATCTGGAGTTTCTGATTGACAGTTACGTGAACTGATATAAATTTGTAATGATTATGTAAAAAGATATACAACCAAAAAAGTCGTTGGGGTCCATGCAGTGTGCTGATGACGGTTAACCCATTGCCCTAGTTTATTTGCTAGTGCATATAGTTAAACACTTCAATTAATGAAGCATGCCTATATTAGCTCATCATCTCATAACCTTATTGTACTTCACCCACTGTAACATGTCTGTGTTAATTCATCATCCAGTCACTCATCATCCTATAACATTACTTTATCTGTTCCTGGAAACAAATTAACACTTTAGTCAATGAAGCACGTCTGTGTTACCCCATCACCTTAATTTATTTGATACTGGATATAAGTTAGCACTTCAGTTAATGAAGCATGCCTGTATTTAAGCTTCACTTTAGTTTTTGTTAGTAGAAATAGTATAACACTTCAGTCAATGAAGCATGCTGTGTTAACTCATCATTAGTTTATTTGTTACTTGAAATAATTTAATACTTCATTCAATGAAGCCCCGTCTGTGTTAACTGATCTTTGCAGTTCAGTTGTTAGTGTATATAGTTCAGCATGCAATCTTAAAGTAAACAAGTATATGCCTTAGGCAAATTTATCAACACAATCCTAAATAACTTATATTTGTTCTTGTCTCTCATACGGCATCTGTACTGTCCTGAAATAATCAACAGAGCTATGCTCAAATTCCAAGTGTTTCATCTAAGTTTCTTTTTTTTCACAAAAACTGTTAACATTAAACATTAACATAAACATTAAAACAATTATAAGTAATATGTAACAAAGATGTGCTTATAGAATTGTGTTGTATACTGAACTAAACAATACAAATGAACATATATGCATAATATAACAGTAAACACCATAGTATACACACGCACACATACAAATGTAGGCCTCTAAGTTAGTGGCTTTCATTTAAACAATGTTGTTTAGCAGGTTATCTGTCACTGTGTGGTAACATTATCAGATAAGTGGCTTATTCGAGTTGTGAATGGATTTAAATTTATCTGCTTTCATGCCTCACAATGATTACAGTAAATAGATAGAAAGTCTACACAACATAAATAACTAAACATGAAGTGTAATGCATAACAAATATGCTTTACTTTCTACTGATTTCCCTTTGTTTTTAGAGTAAACATAATAAAGTCATAATGCGTCATTAGTAGTTTAATTGGGTAAATAGTATAATATATTTTCATAGAATTATAGTTTTGAATGCTAAAATATTTTGTATTGTATACAAATAACATTTCAAATAAAAAAAAATTATCTCATTATTTTTATGGCATTGACTTCTACAAGGTAAAACAGATGAGAAATTATCTTCATTTTTATATTATTCTAATTTTAAAGATCTGGAGGCTTCCATAAAGCTGGGTGGGCATATCAAAATATTTATATACAACTAAATGAACTAGCAACTTTTTATTAAAGTTTTTTTATACAAAAAAAAGAAATTTATTTGCATTTCATCCTAAAATGCCTTAGAAAAGAAATTTATAGCAGCAAAAGCAAAACTAAAATCATGTCTTAGATATAAAATAAATTTAAATAAAAATATTTTAATATTACTCTTGTTTTTTACAATTTTCAATTGGCAGTAGATGTTTCCAAGTATTTTTGTGATAAGCTACTCGACTAATTTAAAGATTAAGACTATTTACAACTACTAAACGTTATACTATAATTATACAAAAGCTGATTTTCAATCTGTAACTTAAAATAAAACAACAAAAATATGTTACTCTGGGTGAGTTAGATAATTTGAAAGATACTAACCTGGCTGCTGGAATGAATGTAAAGGAGTAAACTGTCAGAGCAAGAAACTGTAGCAAACAGAAGAAAGTGCTGAGTCCTGGTGTTTCCCACTTTAAAAAATACAATAACAAATGTAAACGTTTTTAAAGAACAGAAGAAATTATAACGTGTTGAAAGAAACAGCCGAGTAACTGAAATTTTCACTTTAAAGTTATTCAGCAAAAATACACTAATATTTGCATAAAAGTAAAAAGAGATATTTGTGTAGGACTAGACACACACACAGAGTCACACATCTCATACAATTTTCAGATGTTAAACTGACTTCATTAACAAAAGCAAAGTAAATTGTATGTTTTTGCTACATAAGCTGACCACTGAAATTAATAGACTCAAAGACAAGCTTAATATTAAACAAAAGAGTAATGTAAAATTGTATATTTTACTAAAAATACTGATTCACATAGGAAACATTTCAAAATAAATTTATAAATTAAGTTGTACATTTTATTAATTCTTATTTAATTAGTTGATTAGCTTATTAAAAATTAACCATTTTATAAACAACGGCAATATAAAATACATTTAAAAGCACTTGGAACCATTCATTATGTTGCTTTATTGTGAATCTAAACGAATATACAATTAAAAATCAGCTGTAAAAGTTCTTGGCCATCCAGAATACTTCAACTTAATTGACACCAGAAAACTATAAGTGCCTTAAAACATAAATTAATTAGTAACCTGTAAAGCATAATGGTGTATGTGAATAAAAATGATCTGCAATAACAATATATATATATATATATATATATATACATAGAGAAGACACCTGAAATTCAAGTGAAAGTGAACCCTCACATAAGTTTGTTCAAATTGAAAACAATGATTTGGCTTTGTTCTTCATCAAAGGTAACGTTTAAAAAACAGTTGTTGGAAAATTGATTAAATAAAGTGTACAAGTTACATACAGATATCATACTGCTGAAGCTATCTGTTGACCTACTGAGTTATTATATCCTCAAAATATATCAGAATGTAAATTGTGGACACTTGTTCTTGGTGAGCTTGAATAAAATGTTTCGTGTCAAATATGGCACTTATGTGAGACTGAACTACAAACAACATATTAGTATGTTCCTGAGCATCAAAGCTTCTGAAGCAAACAGTCACTTGGGTGGCTATCAAAACATTTTCCAATGCCTTTGCTTGTAAAGTAAATAGCTAAAGAAAAATAATGATAATTTGTAATAAATTATTTCCTTGCTCTGGATTCAAATCTGAGACTTCTTGCATGCTAGGCAAGAGCACTACCAAAGAAACTAAAGGGTTAATCTACTAGCATTTGCTACTTAGGCACTTTTTAATGACTGAAAATAATATGTTCTTCCTTGCTCACAAACATGGACTGTTCCAGACCTTATCTCAAGATCAATGGATGATCACTATTTGGGTGCCACTCATTCTGTTAATGTTTTTCAGTAGCTTGAAGCTATGAACAAAGTTTCAATGTAGGACATTAAACCTCTTGATCATTCTGTCAATGTTTTTCAGTACCTTGAAGCTATGAACAAAGTTTCAATGTAGGACATTAAACCTCTTGATCATTCTGTCAATGTTTTTCAGTACCTTGAAGCTATGAACAAAGTTTCAATGTAGGACATTAAACCTCTTGATCATTCTGTCAATGTTTTTCAGTACATTGAAGCTATGAACAAAGTTTCAATGTAGGACATTAAACCTCTTGATCATTCTGTTAATGTTTTCAGTATCTTGACAACATGAACAAAGTTTCAATGTAGGACCTTACATCTCTTAATCATTCAGCTAATGTTTTCATACGATAACTTAAGTTTTCCACTTGATGATCTGTACTTTACATATCTATAACAATTATTTTATTTTCAAACTTTAAATAAAAGTTTCTTATGGTTTAATTCCCCTTTAGAATGTCAGTAAAGAATATAATGATTGCTCATCTTACTTATGAATTATGGAAATTTATATCAACTAAATCTTAAACAGAAAATAAGAACTGAAAATCACTGACATTTTAAAACAATTACAAAAAGAACTATAACTAGCTTCAAGGTATAAGTAACAGTAACAGAGTGTGTGTGTGTGTGTGTGTGTGTTATATCTGTACTTAAAGCATGCTCCGACAAATACTGGGTGCCAGGTCACCATGGCAATTAAACATCTCATCACAGCACCTAGTATTTTCTCCCATTTTATTCGTGCATAGGAGTGTGCTAAATAGAATTCAAATATAGAACAGTTCTGGACTCTTGGATGTCCCGAACTATTTTCTTTGAGTCCTAAATAAACTTTGTTTCTAGGATTTTAATGGTAGATTCAGCATTTCTTCATTTTATTTCAGGAATGAAGTACTATGGTTGCACAACATGTTACTAATTTCATGCCATTTTGTTTTTCTTCTTTCTCTCGATTCAACCAACAAGTTCTCATGTTTAGACTCAGATGGGACCAAAGACAGTTAGTTTAGGAAATACTATCAAGTGGTTGTTGATATCATGTGATCTTTAGCATGCACTTGTTTCTGTGAAACTAAATAAATATAGCCCCATTTCCCAGAAAAAAAACAGTAATGAAATTAGGTTAGGCATGCCAAAAGGCCTTTGCTTATCGTTGTCCAGTGTTGTAGTGATGAGTAGATTAGACCTATTCTGAAACAACCTGCTTCGTCTATCAATATTGCAGTGATTATTTTACTTTCATTCATTGCAAGAATCCACCTAAGTTATAGTTAATAATGGCTGGAGACGGCTTAAATGGGTAATGAAGAAAAACTTTAATATAAGTTTAACATGATAGCAAATGTACAACGTACTGGTACCTGATGATGACAAAACCTTGTCGAAACGTTGTACATTTGCTGTCATGTTAAACTTATATTAAAGTTTTTCTTCATTACCCATTTAAGCCGTCTCCAGCCATTATTAACTATAACTTAGGTGGATTCTTGCAATGAATG